AAGTAGGCGACGAAACCAAAACCTTTAACTTACGTGTGAGAGCTCGTCCAACTAGCTATTGGTTTCGTATCGTCCTCTGTCTGTATATAGTAGTAGTAAGTAAGTATATATATATATATATATATATATATATATATATATATATATGATATTTGTGTTGATATTTATAAACTCTGCGTAAAACATTAGATAATACTTTACCCAGATGTTTTAGTAAAGTTGTTGGTAAATGAACTTGTGGGTTGCACATTAGTGTTTATAATGATATGTCAGTTTAAATTCTTTTAACCTTTCTAAGAAATAAATAGTTGTGTGATTCTAGAAGTAAAACTATATTTTATCTAAGATAAGTCTATATTCTTGTAAAAATAATTAAAGTTGGAACCTGTGATTTATGTATTGAAGGAATCTAGGACTAACACAACCTGGTTTGATGTAGTATTTTAAAACAGTCTTGTGTGTGTGGCACACATTTAATACAAATGGTAAGATGGTTAAGTTAGTTAACTTAGTTTTACATTTTTAACACAACTAATAAATTGTTTAGTTAACATATTTAGTTTTACATATGTAAAACAACTGGTAAGTTGGCTAATTAACGTAGTTAGTTTTACATTTGTAACACAACTGGTAAATTGGCTAGTTAGTTTTACATTTTTAGATTTAAGATGGTAAAGTTAGTTAACTTAGTTTCACATTTCTAATACAACTAGTAAGTTGTTTAATTAACCTTGTTAGTTTTATATATCTAACATAACTGATAAGTTGGCTAGTTATCCTAGTTTGTTGTATGTACATTTTTAAAACAACTAGTAAGTTGGCTAGTTAACCTAGTTAGCTGTACATTTCTAATACAACTAGTAAGTTGGTTAGTTATCCTAGCTAGTTGTACTTTTCTATCACAACTGGATAGTTGGCTAGTTATCCTACTTAGTTGTACATTTCTTACACAAGTACTATTTTGGGTAGTTAACCTAGTTAGTTGTACATTTATAATACAACTTGTAAGTTAGCTTGTTAATCTAGTTAATTGTACCTTTTAATACAACTAGTAAGTTAGCTATTTATCGTAGTTTTTTTTTTACATTTTTAAAACAACTAGTAAGTCAAACAGTTAACCTAGTTAGTTGTACATTTCACACACTGGTAAGTCAACCAGTTAACCTGGTTATTTGTACATTTATAATGCAGCTGGTTAGTTGTACATTTATAACACAAGTACTAAGTGGGTTAGTTATCCTAGTTAGTTTACATTTCTGACATAACTAGTAAGTTGACAAATTAACCTAATTAGTTGTATATTTCTTACAGAACTACTAAGTTGGCTAGTTAACCTAGTTAGTTGTACATTTATAATGCAACTGGTTAGTTGGCTAATTAACATAGTTATTTGTATTTCTCTAACACAACTGGTAAGTTGGCTAGTTATCCTAGTTAGTTGTACATTTATAACACAACTGGTATGTTGGCTAGTTATCCTAGTTAGTTTGACTTTTCTTACACAACTAGTAAGTTGGCTAGTTCTTTGTTAGTTGTACATGACTGGTAAGTGGGTTAATTATCTAGCTTACTTTACATTTCTGACATTTCTGCTAAGTTGGCTAATTAACTTAGTTAGTTGTACTTTTCTAAGACTGGTAAGTTGGGTAGTTATCCAAGGTAGTTATGCTTTTCTAACAAAACTGGTATGTTGGCTAGTTATCCAAGGTAGTTATGCTTTTCTAACAAAACTGGTATGTTGGCTAGTTAACCTAGTTGGTTGTACATTTCTTACATAACTGGTAAGTCAAGTAGTTAACCTGATTAGTTGTATATTTATAACAGAATTAGTAAGTTGGCTAATTAACCTAGTTAGTTGTACATTTCTAACACAACTGCTTAGTTGGCTAGTTATCCAAGCTAGTTTTACATTTATAATGCAACTGGTTAGTTGGCAAGCTAACCTTGTTAGTTGTACAGTTATAATGCAACTGGTTAGTTTTCTAGTTAAGATAGTTAGTTTTACATTTATAACACAACTAGTTAGTTGGCTAGTTAACCTAGTTAGTTGTACATTTATAATGCAACTGGTTAGTTGGCTAGTTAACATAGTTAGTTGTACATTTATAATGCAACTGGTTAGTTGGCTAGTTAACATAGTTAGTTGTACATTTATAATGCAACTGGTTAGTTGGCTAGTTAACCTAGTTAGTTGTACATTTATAATGCAACTGGTTAGTTGGCTAGTTAACCTAGTTAGTTGTATATTTATAATGCAACTGGTTAGTTGGCTAGTTAACCTAGTTAGTTGTACATTTCTAATAGAACTGGTAAGTTTGCTAGTTATCCTAGTTAGTTGTACATTTCTAATAGAACTGGTAAGTTTGCTAGTTATCCTAGTTAGTTGTACATTTATAATGCAACTGGTAAGTTTGCTAGTTATCCTAGTTAGTTGTACATTTCTAATAGAACTGGTAAGTTTGCTAGTTATCCTAGCTAGTTGTTAATTTCTAACACAACTGGTTAGTTGGCTAGTTATCCTAGCTAGTTGTTAATTTCTAACACAACTGGTTAGTTGGCTAGTTAACCTAGTTAGTTGTACATTTCTAATAGAACTGGTAAGTTTGCTAGTTATCCTAGCTAGTTGTTACATTTCTAACACAAGTGATAAATCAGCTAGTTATCCTATTTGCAACTTTATAACTCTGCTAATAATTGGGCTGATTGATGTAGTTAGTTGTAAATTTATAACTCCGGTAATATGTTGGCTAATTAATGTAGTTAGTTGTAAATTTATAACTCCGGTAATATGTTGCCTGATTGATGTAGTTAGTTGTAAATTTATGACTCTGGTAATATGTTGGCTAATTGATGTAGTTAGTTGTAAATTTATAACTCCAGTAATATGTTGGCTAATTAATGTAGTTAGTTGTAAATTTATAACTCCGGTAATATGTTGGCTAATTAATGTAGTTAGTTGTAAATTTATAACTCCGGTAATATGTTGGCTAATTAATATAGTTAGTTGTAAATTTATGACTCTGGTAATATGTTGGCTAATTAATGTAGTTAGTTGTAAATTTATAACTCCGGTAATATGTTGGCTAATTAATGTAGTTAGTTGTAAATTTATGACTCCGGTAATATGTTGGCTAATTAATGTAGTTAGTTGTAAATTTATAACTAAGCTACAATGTTGGCTAGTTATCCTAGTTAGATGTATGTGTCTAACACAGCCTATCTGGTTGTACATTTTCAACACAACTAGGTTTATTTTAACTATTAACTGTATTTGTAATGTATTCCTAAAAAAGTTTAATTTAATGTATATTTGTAGTATATCTTAGTGTTTTTGTTATTCTACTAGGCCTGCCTTCTGAAAACATTCATGATCATATAAGAAAATGGTTGGGAAAACTATCTGAAGAAGAAAAGGAAGATATAATTTTGAGATACAAGGTAACGTGTTTACTAGGATTGATGTATTAATTTTTTTATAAGTTTTTGGTAACAAATGGCTGTTTTTTCATTTGATGAATCGTTAAGTTTTCATTTACTTTCTTCTGGTAGGTATCACTTATATCCCTTCATTTTTACCTACTCACTTAACCAACTGCATGAAACTGAGAATGAACTTACAAAATAATATCTAGCTTCAGCTTAAAAATTTGGTTTATTTTTAATCATTTTTTTATTTCTCAATTTTCCAAAATTTTGTTGAGGCATTTTTGTTAGAAAAATATTAATATTAATTGAAACAATTTCTTTTTGTTGATTAAATAGTTTTATTTTACTTGTTCAGTTGATTTTAACTTCATTAATATATTTCTTTTGAAACTTTATTTGTTGGATTGTAGTAGTTGCCAATTCTGGCTATAAATTGTAAAAGATATGGCAAAAAGTTATAGATTCATCAGTGACCTTGTACCTGATACTTCAAAACTGTCTTGGGCTAGGTAACAGCATTTCTGCTACTAGTATAGTTAGTAAAATCAATATACATTTAATAATTGTTTTCAGTAAATTGTAAGTAATTTTATTTATGTGCATTGTTTGAACACGATAAACCTAACAACAATATGCCGTGAGGTCATAAAATGGTGGAACAAGTTTGAGAAAGAGAAGGAAAACCATGTGGGGAAACAAAACCTTGAGTATTATATTTGTTCATTTTCTTTATGAACTCCATTAAATAAATGTTACAAAATGACAGAATATCAATTTTAAAACACTTGTAAGTAAAAATTGTTGAAATAATTATTTGTTATCTTTACTTAAACTTTGAAACTTGATATGCAGATATGCACTCAAGAACTGAAAGATGCTCACTGGTCAACAAAGGATTAAAAATATTTTTAAGGAATTAATTCCTAGCCACTGTGGGAACTTTTTTGATTATATTTCTTTTCATTTCATGTAGGGTACTTACAGAATTGATATTCCTCGTCTCTGTATCTATTCAAAACTGTTGATTATTCTCGGTAGACATTCCTTAAACATTCTTTTTGCTTTTTTATAAATTAGCATTCTGTTTATCATAAGTATGATATTATAGACAGAAGCTTGTGACTATGGTTAGTTGGGATAGCAGACTATGTTCAGTAAATTAGACATTATTGTATTTTCTAACTCTGTCCTAAAATTTATGTTTACAAATGCTCATGTTCACCTAAGTTCACCTAGTTCGGCAAGCCGGTACCACAGACATAAAACTGGACATCCCATAACTCACTCAGGATTCACCAGTCTTTGTTATGGTAATTCCGACCTTGAACTGTTAATCAAAGAAAGTCTATTCTTAAAATAAATGTCCCCTGTTTCAAATATAACACAGTCATCTTACACACTTAATTTGTTTTAAAGCAACTTATACTAAAAAAATTTATTTATAAATAGGATGTTTATACAAAATACAATACAGAATAATAATAATAAAAACAAAAAACAAAAGCTGTTAATCTTATTTCTTTGCCTCCATAGATACTGTTTGTAAGTAGTAAATAATACGTTTGGTTAATTTAATTGTTGTTCTCACTTCACGTGATTATAACATTATTTTAATCTTGTATTCTCTAATGTGTCATTATCGTTATTTTCTTTTGGCTGATGATGATGTAAATAGAAGGTCAAAACATTTTCTCCTAATAAACATTTCAAAAGTCATTCACTGTCTACCTTAAATAAAGCTGTGGATAATAAAAAACTGTCTACATTATTAGGTTGCATATGATGTACACTTCAAAGCACCTAGACAGAAGCCAGAAATAACTAACTTCTTATAAATAATAGTGTTTTGTTTGTTTTAGGGAACTGAAACAACAACTTTACAAGAAAAGAATGAAGTGTTGATGATGCTGTTCAGAAGTTACTTTGAGAGAAAACAGATGAAACATACTCATGCGACAAATGGCAATCATAGCAACAGATGTGAGGTAAGTTACAACTGTATTTCATGAACAAAGAAACAGCTGTAGTACAAGTGATAGTACTAGCAACAAATGTTAAAGTTTCAAGTGTACTTCATGAACAAAAACATGTTTGTACTAGAGGTGACAATAATAGCAACAAATATTAAGTAAGTTTCAAATGTGTTTCATGAACAAATAAACATAGCTGTACTACAGCTGACAATAATAGCAACAAATATTAAGTAAGTTTCAAATGTGTTTCATGAACAAAGAAACATATTCATGCTACAAATAGCAATCATAGCAACAAATGTTAAGTAAGTTCCAAATGTATTTAATGAACAAATAAACATAGCTGTACTACAGCTGACAATAATAGCAACAAATGTTAAGTAAGTTTCAAATGTATTTTATGAACAAAGAAACATATTTGTACTACAAGTGGCAATCATAGCAACAAAATTAAATAAGTTACAACTGTATTTCATGAACAAAGAAATGTAGCCATACTACAGGTAAAAATAAGAGTAACAAATTTAAACATTATCCTGAAACTGAAAGATTAGGGATAAATTAGTGATAAGTATGTTTTAATCTTCTGTATAGGTATGTCAATGATAAGTATGTTTTAATCTTCTGTATAGGTATGTCAATGATAAGTATGTTTTAATCTTCTGTATAGGTATGTCAATGATAAGTATGTTTTAATCTTCTGTATAGGTATGTCAATGATAAGTATGTTTTAATATTCTGTATAGGTATGTCAGTGATAAGTATGTTTTAATATTCTGTATAGGTATGTTAATGATAAGTATGTTTTAATCTTCTGTATAGGTATGTCAGTGATAAGTATATTTTAATATTTAGAAAGTCACTATTGTTGTTTTATCATGTGATAGTCTATATTTCATTATAATTGTTATGTTTCTGTATGATTGTTATTTAATTTTATTTGTTATATTTCTGTATGATTGTTATAATTCATTGTGATTAATGTATTTCATTATAATTCCTATATATATATTTCATTATCATTGATAATATGTTAAAAGATGTTGAAGTTTCATTTTTAAAAAAAAAAATCATCCACCATTAAGTTGCACTGTCGATATATGAAGTTCTATGTTTATCAGATAGAATTATAAGGAAAGCTTTAAATATTAATCATGCATTTTGAAGTCTGGAAAATAGAATCTTATCATGCAAAAGTATGGCCACTTATTGTTGGAAATGGTTATCAGAGAAGTAGGGGATTACATTGATGATGTAAATCTATGAACAAAATTAATATTATTTTGTGCAACATAAAGGAAATTTCTATAGACTAGTTTGTATGAGATAGATTCACTCATGTAAGATGTAGAAATATTTTAGAATATCATATGGATTTTACCTTAATTTACCCTAGATTGGTTTTTTTGAAAAAAAAAGCTCTTCTAAACTGGATTCCTTTAAGGAAAAAGCAAGAAAATCGTTATCAAGCTCTTTTGAAAACATTCTGAAGGTAAAAACATTTTTTTTATTTTCTTCTATTTTGTAAAGTATCATATAAGTTTCAGTTGTGGTTGTTTTGGAAATTGATGTCATATTTTAATAATCAAAGAATCATGTCAAATCACTCAATTTACACTTTTAAAGTCATGAATCAGTTTTGTAAAAGTGGAAGATATAGTTTAGGATAGTATTGCTTCCTGCAATGTGGAAAGAAATAGTTGTGATTAAAAATTCTGACAGTGTTGACATTTTTTTTGTCATACAGAGAAAAGTAAAAGAAGACCCAAGGGAAAGGTCAGGTACAACAGAGTCAGAGCCAACTAGCAGGGTAAAGATTTAACAAATTATTATAAACATTCTTTAGGATAGGATTTTAAAAGGAGGCTTTTTCTCAGAAGTGTAAATGCTTAAAAAAAATTAATTTATTTATAATATCTAAATTTACTTAATAAGATTTATATCAACTGTTTGTTAAACAATAGTTTTAAAAGCTTATATTATAGAATGTACATTTAAGTAAGTTTGAGAAGTTTTTTATAACCAGCAGGTTAGTTTGATATCTCATTCAAGTGTCCTTTTGGAATATCCAACGAAAATGTGTAATTTTTGTGTAAAGTGTGTGTAAGATAAAAATGCTCTAGTACTCTTTAAGTTTAAAAGTTTATTAAAACCAGTTTTATGAATAAGGTCTAAAAGTGCCTTATAACCAAATAACATCAACGCTTTGACTAAATGTTACCATAGTGTTTAAAAGTTCCAAAACATACTTACCTCCTCTAACACTTTCAGCTATTCCTCAACTGACAGGGTTTCTACCTTTGCCCATCTAAGCATTGGTCTGATTTTTTCTCTTGTTCCAGACTTTTATATCCCACTCAGTTGCCCTTGGAGATATTTATCTCGTGACCCTCTCCACCTACGTCAATGCTCCGTCTATCCTGGTACTGTATATAAGCACCTCATTCAGATAATGTGATCACTTTTTCTCAATAAAGAGACGCTAACAGGTTTCCCAGTATTATGTTAGTTCAGAGATACTTTGAATGTTATCTGTGTTTTCTAGTTCATTTTAGTAATAATAATTGAAAAACAAACAAAAAAGAAACAGGAGGTCACCTTGGGATAAGCTGCCTTTGATTTATTTTCTTCTGTTGGTGTGATATTTTGGGACATTTCCTGGTTGCTTTTGAGCCTGCACCTTACTTGATGGCTGAAAGATCTAGGAGCCATTTTTAGTTTTCTCTCTATCCACTGGAAGGTTTACTTCTCAGTTACGTGAAGGAACAGTTATACCTTATCTGACACTTTGTCGGAATTTCGTGATTTAGCCTACCACTGCCAGGTGAAGGCATTTTCTGACTCTCAAAAAATACATCTGCTCCACGAATTTTGGGGTTCTACGGTGGAGTTTGTAGTTAACCTGAATAGATCAATGTCTCCTGATGGTACAAAGTAAGTCGATGGACTTACAACTTTAAAATCCAACATTTTGTTTTCCTTTCATATCACTTTGTTGGAAGACTCTCAGGATCACCAACTTCCTTGATGACTAGCTGGATCCATTGTTGGCATGCACGTTAGTTCAGTTTTCGGCTTCTACATTCCTCCCTGCTGTTGTTGGAGTCTTGAATTTTCACCCCTATTTGTGGGTGCTACCCCCTGACATCAGTCCCTCAGTACATTGGTACCCAGAATAGCTTCTCTCTATACCCAAGGGTTCCACTGCTCAGTCAGATCACCATCAGTGGTATCAATGATTATTGTATACCTTCAGGGTCTGTGGGGGCTCGGCTCCAAGAAGTTCTGGATATGTGATAACCTTAACAACGGATCCAGGAGCACTGCAGGTTCTTGAGTCAGGATTAGTCATTCAATTCACATCTTCACCACTATTATCCAACCAACATAGTTCTAGGGCTATCACAGTTTGGTTGGTCTGGGGGTAGTGAGAGAGTCTTGCTAGTTTTTCAGAGGTTTTATTTCTGTTGGTTGTTGGGCCTATGCAGATTCACCTCTTCTATTCCCACTGCACAATTGTTCTTTCTCTTCTGGGAATGTGGGCATTAGTCGATTCCTCATGCCTTTGGGACTAGAGCACAAGAGATCCTTTTAATTAGTCTTGATGCAACCAAGAGATCATAAACATTGATTCACTAGATTCCTTAGTTGGGATCATTCTTCGATATCTAGGAATTGTTAAGTCGGGACACTACTACAATATGGGTTCCTCTACTGCCAACCTGTCCAGAGTTCCATCTTTTCACGAATGCCTTGCTTCGGGGATAGGTTACATATACCAACAGTCAGGAATTCCAGGGTCTATGCACAAATGAAGGGGTTTCCCTACACAATGTTTTAGACTTTCTTGCTCTTTAACAAGCAATGCCTCATTGTCTGAGCTTATTAGCCGACCATGTGACTTCTTTGTACTCTTTTAACCCTCTCAACCCAGGCTTGGTCAATTTGACTGACCATGTGATCTCTTTGTACTCGTTCAAAGTCTTTATAGATATGATAATACTAATTACATTTGTTTATCGTAAGTAGCTTTAAATTTGGAATGGTATATATCTATTAATAATTAAATTTTATTGTTTTATGCCCTTTGAAGAGTGTAACTACTATTCGTGCCATTGTAAGTTATAAATCACTTGTGGAACATGCAGCTCTTGTTACATTGAATTACATTACCCACAAGGTACTCGGAACTGCTTGCATTATTATATTATTATTATTGTTTATTTTACCTAATCTAACCTTAACTAACCTAAAGAGATCCCTATTTTTACATTTTAGTTACTATTATAATAACAACTATAGAATAAATATGAAAAACAAGAAATAAGTTATTTACCCATGTATTTTTTTTTTTGCTGTCGACTAACGATGACACTTAACCCAACTTTTTTATACTAATGGTAGTAGTGCATTAAATAATTTTTATTTAATTAGATAATACACCCATGCTTTCTAACTATGTGACAAGTGCTGTTACAAATTCATCCAAGCTAGTCATTGTGATTCCCCTGGGAACCAAAGTTGTATTACAAGTGAAATTGACGATTATCTGTTCAGAATACAATGTAATATAATATATCATTTGATAGATGAAAACCTTGGCTTTCTATTGGTTATAGGTAATATATAATTAAATGTAAGAGATAACTATTATCAAATCCTGAAAGAGAGGATGTGACAGGTGGGTGTGGCAGGAGGGGTCTGATTTTCTGTTTGACAGCTCCCTAACCAAACAAAATAAGAATTATGATTTGTTTGAGCAGTGACGATTTTATAGTGAATATTTTACATATAATTTCATAGTTACATCTATTTATACTTGCATTTTATTTTTTTATTGCCCTTTCAACTGTGTCTAACTACTATTCACACCATTATAAGTTGTAAATCACTCTGGGAAAGCGGAGCTCATGTTACGTAATCGAATTATATCACCCATGAGCTATTTCAAGCTGCTCTCGTGTGTCCCTCGTGAAACATATTTATTATATTATTATTATATATTTTACCTAATCTAACCTTAGATAACCTAAAGAGAATCTTATTTTTATATTTTAGTTACTTTTAGACACTTAACCCTACCTTTTTTATACTAATGGTAGTAATGCACTAAATGATTTTTATTTAATTAAATAATGCACCAAAGAACATAGAATAATAACTGGTAAAACTAGACAATTCCCCCAAATTATCACAATTTTTCAGGCTTTCTAACTATGTGACAAGAATATTTACAACTTCATCCAAGCTATTCGTTAGCTTTCCTGTGGGAACAAAGCTTGTACTAACTGATAAATTGACAATTCTCTGTTCAGAAAACAATGTAACATGTCATTTGAAAGATGAAAACCTTGACTTTCTATTGGTTATACATAATATAGTATTAAGCATAACACAGAACTATTAAAAAATCTTGAAAGAGAGAGGATGTGACAGGTTGGTGTGGGAAGAGGGGTCTGATTTTTTAATTGATGGCTGAGTTAACCAAACAAGATTGAAGGCTATTGAAATTATGGTTTGTCTAAGCAATGATGATTTTGTGTTAAATTTCGTAGTTATTGTAGGGTTGGTGAATAAAATAGAGAAGAGGGGATGACTAGAGAAAAAATGTTGCATTTCTCACACTAGGGGGAAATACAGGATTTTTTAAGTATTGCCTTGTAAAATTAAGAACTTAAAACTTGTATACTATTAAAATATAGATTATTAACTATGATTTTATGCTGTACTAATTGATGCAACATAAACAAAAAGGTGTTTAATTAATATTTGAATGTAAGTCACTAAACCTTGTGACATTCTCTGTAAAGGATAGCCAATGCGAGAGGTTTAAGGGGAAAATTGTCAGGATTCACTCTGACAATTCCTTGGTGGTATCTTGTGTTTCTCATCAAGGAGACACTTGGTCCAGGGCTCCTTGATTTCAAATTTTGTACCTCCTATCTTGGGACTATTCCTGTCTTATCACCCTACTAGCTTCCCACATTCCACAGGAGATGCCTGCGGAAGTAGGTCAATTGTCTCAATTCAAACAGATTCTCTCAACAGAATAGATGCTGAATCGCAAGGTTCTGTTGGATTGGCTCCAATTTTGCAACTCTGATTGGTGGGGTGGCCTCTCATTGGATCACCCAACTACTAGCAATTTGGTCTCCAGTGCCTTATCTTCGGGTTTTGGCAATGAATGTATTCCAACAGGACAGAATTAGAACTCTAGGCCTTCTCTCCACTTCATCTAAATATGATTTGTTTCAATCCATTGTTGGGTCCTGTTGATAGTGCCAGATTGGCTGCTACACCCTGGTTTCTGCTTCTACAGTACCTTCCAGAGTAGAGTGCCCACCTCTTTCACTTATTCTTGGGCTATCTCTGTCGAGGCAGTCATGACATGGTACACCAGGCTATCCAGATATCAAGCTATAGGCATAGAGATTCTGCAGTCTTTCATATGGCATTGGGGTTTAATTTTTAAGTTTGCTGTGTATCTGTCTCAGTTTTTGCTTAGTCCCGAGAAGAATATTGCTCAACAAAAATTATATGCATTTCGACAATAGTGTTTTGAGAGGAGGTTGAATCCATTTTGATCAGAAGTGCCAACCATACCTCATTTTTTGACCTGGCTCTTTGGCAGAGGTTTTGCATCTTCCACAATCACCCTGTTTAAGGCTATATTATTGACCACCGTTTGATTCTTGTGACTACATATTCTTTGAGTTCCCAGTTCTCTCCAGATTCCTCAAGTTGCATTGGGTCCTTGGTCCCAAATGACCATTCCAATCACCTAACAGGTATATTATGGTTACATTACAT